GCGGACAGAGCCTTCGTGGCGCTTTCAAAGGCGCGACTATTTTTTGAACCGCGGCACCATATTAGCAGTGGCCTCCTCATGTCACCTCACCAGAGGTGTGACTTTACTATGTTTTGCCTCAAGTAATAACCTATAATACTAACATAAAATAAAGCTAAGGCTACATGTGTTTGTGTCGAAGTATTCAGTCACCCTTGAAACTTTTCCTGCAAGGTCTATGCGTTAGCACCAATTCAGCTTGCACGCGCACTCTAAACACAAACTAGCCGAATTGGGCATTTCAAGGGCGTAATATTACATTTATTCACACTTCTACACTCGTAGGGTGTAAAAAAAGAGTAATATGGTTCTGCGACCTCAATTTCATTTCCTTGGGAAATGACGTGAACAAATAGGGAAGAAAGGAGGTGAATAAACGATCTGACGTCATTCATCACGAACGATACCACAAGAAAACTCCCATTTCACCTTCTCTCGCATGTTTTCTTTTTATTTTTTTCCGGAGATCTCTGCAATTTGTCTTCAGTGCTGGCCGGCATGCATTCTTCTCTGCAGGGGGAAGAAGTGTGTTGTCTCACGAAAACACACATTCATCAGAATTCTAAACAAACTCACAACGCACTAATCAATTATTTATATCTTCATAGCGTCGAATGATATTCGTTTTACGGAATGATGCAGAGGACAAACTTCAAACAGTTGCGCTCGGGCTCAACCAGAACTGCGACCACAGAATAATTCAATTATGTTTTGATACCACCAAATCAATATAAATTATATAATGCTAAAGGAAGAGCCTGCAGACTTTTGGTTCGGCCGATCGGTATCGCAGTGCACACTCAGTTTACCGTTTTGGATAACGTATCGGGCAGGTGCAACGTGCATCAACACACGGAATAAAACCAAGTGTTGAGGAGACTCAGAAAAAAAAAATTGGCAGATTCCCACGTACAGTGGGAATCGATGATATGCGAAACAGGAATGAGAAATGTTGTCACTTTAAAATCAGAACAACGTTACGAGGTGGAGGTAAATTATGCCATACATGACTTCCGTGTCATGATTGTCATATTTGGGTGTGTCGTTTACGTTCGTAATCTATTCACGTCACGTGATACCAAATTTAGTATATGTGGAGCTAGCGAAACCGCCGCGAGAATGCTATGAGCGTGGTATGTTGTCATGTTCTCACATGACACACGTGTCAGGATTATCATGTTTGCACCAGTCATATATTCCGTCATCCATTGACGTCACGTGACACCAAATTTGGTATATGTGGAGCCAGCAAAATGGCGGCGAGCGCATCATGATGGGCCCAACATACTACAATCTAGTGTTGATGCGCTGGGCACATCGACGCTAGGTTAGCAAAACGCGAGCAAATGTTATGACTAGCCAAATATGTTCTTCATACAGTCATGTTAAGTCATGCCAAGTTTGGTATCGATACCATTATCGAAACGGCCAGGAGAGCTTAAAGTCTTTGGCGGTGAAATAGATAGATAGATAGATAGATAGATAGATAGATAGATAGATAGATAGATAGATAGATAGATAGATAGATAGATAGATAGATAGATAGATAGATAGATAGATAGATAGATAGATAGATAGATAGATAGATAGATAGATAGATAGATAGATAGATAGATAGATAGATAGATAGATAGATAGATAGATAGATAGATAGATAGATAGATAGATAGATAGATAGATAGATAGATAGATAGATAGATAGATAGATAGATAGATAGATAGATAGATAGATAGATAGATAGATAGATAGATAGATAGATAGATAGATAGATAGATAGATAGATAGATAGATACGCTCGAAGTCGCCGAAGTTCGCTAAGAAATGCTTCGTATTTTAAAAAAAAATGAAACAAATGGAAGGAACTTTTCTCAAGCGGCCGCTACGAAGCCAGAAAATATTCCCTTCGACTGATCTCTGCACCGACCTTTGAACAGCCACTGCACCTCGCGAGAGGGGAAGCGACGTACAAGGAGAGTTAAAAAAAAAAGAAAAAAATGAACACGAGAGAAAAGAGCCGTTCCAGTTCCGAAATGCCAACAGAGATTAGGAGAATACCCCAGCGACGTGCGTCTAGCGAAGCAAAGACGTCACGTCGAAGTGCATTGGTGCCTTGAGTGTGGCATGTAGTCATGTTCTCACATGACACGCATCTCATGATTATCGTGTTTGCATCAGTCACATACCTTCGCCCTCCATTGGCGTCACGTAATACCAAGTTTGTATATGTGAAGCTGGCGAAACGGCTGCGAGCGCATTAGTGTGGCATGTAGTCATGTTGTTACATAACACGCATGTCGTTATTATCATGTTTGGATGTGTCATTTACCTATGTCTTCCGTTCACGTCGTATAATAACGAGTTTGGTACATGTAAAGCTAGCGAAACGGCCGTCAATGCATCATGAACGTGGCATGTAGTCATGTTGTTACATGACACGCATCATGTTTAACGATTATCATGTTTGCACTAGTCACATACCTTCGTCATCCACTCACGTACTGTAATACCAAATTTCGTATATGTGACGCTAGTGAAACGGCCGCGAGCGCATCATGAGCGTGCCATGTAGTCACAATATATGACACGCCTGTCAGGATTTTCACGTTAGGGTCTGTCACTTGTGTTCGCCATGCAATCATACCATTCCATAGCAGCTTTTCAACATGCCCTGTGAACGAAAGCACCGCAAGAACTGCAGGACCACAAAAAGAAAATCATAACATTCATGACATACACATCATGAGTTTCATGTTATGACAAGCCAAATATGTTCTTCATACAGTCATGTTAAGTCATGCCAAGTTTGGTATCGATACCATTATCGAAACGGCCAGGAGAGCTTAAAGTCTTAGGCGGCTAAATAGATAGATAGATAGATAGATAGATAGATAGATAGATAGATAGATAGATAGATAGATAGATAGATAGATAGATAGATAGATAGATAGATAGATAGATAGATAGATAGATAGATAGATAGATAGATAGATAGATAGATAGATAGATAGATAGATAGATAGATAGATAGATAGATAGATAGATAGATAGATAGATAGATAGATAGATAGATAGATAGATAGATAGATAGATAGATAGATAGATAGATAGATAGATAGATAGATAGATAGATAGATAGATAGATAGATAGATAGATAGATAGATAGATAGATAGATAGATACGCTCGAAGTCGCCGAAGTTCGCTAAGAAATGCTTCGTATTTTTAAAAAAATGAAACAAATGGAAGGAACTCTTCTCAAGCAGCCGCTACGAAGCCAGAAAATATTCCCTTCGACTGATCTCTGCTCCGACCTTTGAACAGCCACTGCACCTCGCGAGAGGGGAAGCGACGCACAAGGAGAGATAAAAAAAAAGAAAAAAATGAACACGAGAGAAAAGAGCCGTTCCAGTTCCGAAATGCCAACAGAGATTAGGAGAATACCCCAGCGACGTGCGTCTAGCGAAGCAAAGACGTCACAGGATAACCTCCCTAGCAAAAATTCTGATAGAAAAACTGATAGGCTATCAGGTTATTGACAGTTGTATCAGTCTATAGGTGTATCAGTCTATAGGTGTATCAATCTATGAGTGTATCAGTCTATGAATGTATCAGTCTATGAGTCTATCAGTCTATGAGTGTACGAGTAATGGTGTACCAGCCTATTGGTGTAGCATTCTACTCTGATAGGCCCACAAGCGAATCGGTGCTTAGCCAACTGGCAGGTGCACCGCTACATCAGAGCAAGCAGGAGACAAATATGAACACAGAAATCAAACAAAATATTTTATTTTATGTGTCATTCCTTGGTTAATCTTTTGATTTCATAAAGTCAATAATTTTGTTTGCCAAATCTTTATTGAGGAGCTTCTTCATTTGCTCAACCTCTCCAATCAGAACGGTGTGCTTCAAAAAAAATGGTTGAAGAAATCTGCATGATCAGAAACAAAGCAAGTTACAGGCACTTATTAAGCGACAATTATGTGCACTCTAAATAGAGTAGTCAATATGATTGATTGATTTGATTTGATTGATATGTGGGGTTTAACGTCCCAAAACCACTATATGATTATGAGAGACGCCGTAGTGGAGGGCTCCGGAAATTTAGACCACCTGGGGTTCTTTAACGTGCACCCAAATCTGAGCACACGGGCCTACAACGTTTCCGCCTCCATCGGAAATGCAGCAGCCGCAGCCGGGATTCGAACCCGCGCCCTGCGGGTCAGCAGCCGAGTACCTTAGCCACTAGAGTAGTCAATATGACAAGGAAATAAGTAGGAGTGCTACCAGTCTGCCTCTCTAATATTGTTTGAAGTTAGATTGTAGATTCTTGCATAGAAGTTCCCAGCTCCAGTATGCAAAAGCTACACTTGAAGCTTTAGTAAGTAATTATAACACAAGTTGGCAGTGAAACCTCGGCTGATTACGTGCAAAAATGGAGCCACCAACTTCCATGAATTTTGGTCAGATTGCAAAATTTCAGCTACCTGAAAACATAGCATATGTTTCTTTCTCCAAGGGAGATTTCGCCTCCCCTTTAGACCGATTTGAGGCTGCGCCAGTAACACTTCAACCAACTAGGCCTGCTGTATAAAAAATGGCAACGGCCGCCTCACGAACAAAACGGGTCTGTCTTTTCAAGCCCATGGGGTGATTGTACAACCTCTTGGGAACGGCGATTCTTTTGCTCCGATGCACCTATAAAACAAGTCAAAGATGATGTGCACACATCAGTTTGTCAATGCACATTTTCTCATTAAAGCAAAGCAATATATATTCAAGACAAAGCATACTAGAGTTTTATGATATCTCTCTGTCAGTGGGCACATAATTGATAAGCGGTGCAGCCTCCCTCACACTTGAGTGGGCTACTTCAGGGCTGTTTGTGGTTGCTGTGGTGGTTCCAGCGTGGCAGCACATATTGGTGGCAAAGGTGGAAGTCGTTTCTGTTATTGAGGCTTGCGGCTGCAACACCCGCAAAGGACAAGGTTCTTTGCTGCAATGAAAAAGTAGAGTGTGCAGAAATAAAGTATATTGCACCCTTGATTGTCACGGTAGCATCCTAGGTGTGCTTGGTCAAATAATATATATGATAAACATAGCATGCAGTTCATATATGCACTTAAAGTGTAATGATGCGTTGCATGTCACGTCTCAAAACCATGGTGTGATTATAGGGGATGCCGTAGTGGAGCGCTCAAGAAATTTTGACCAAGCAGTGTTCTTTTTAATATCAACCACACTGTGAAAGTTGTAAAAGCACATTTACAAGTGATTATAAAAACATGCATGCATCCCTGCCACCCATGAGCTTACATTGCATTCTGCTTTTCAGCAAAATTGCACGCTATAAGAATAGGGCAACTTGCTGCTGCATACAACCCTAGCAGCAGTGGGTTACAACAGCTTATGAAGAAATGATAAACCTGTTTGGAAATTTTTGCTGCGAAGGGCATTATCCAGTAGGCTTATTCTTTCTAATACTTTTGTATTTTGAGCCCTGAGCATATATATTCACTTCTTTCAGAAGCTCTTTCTATGTTCTTTTTTTCAGCATCAGCAAACAGCAGGCCTACCTGCTGCTTCTTAAAGCGGTTGCTGACGTGCTTTGTCTTCTGCTTAACAGCAACTTGACGTCGCGTTTTTTACAACTGCAGACAACCCAACACACAAATTTCACTGGTAGTTCGCAAACACAAACAGGGCGTATATCCACACGAGCAAAAATAATTTTAAATCAGTCAATTGTACAAAAAAAATGTGACTAAGCTGCACTCATACCACGATAGAATAAGATAAAAATAGCTCTTCAGCATACTGCAACTTTACCACCACCTTCAATACGAGGTTCCGGCGCCCGCGCAGTAGTGGAGCAGCGATGCTCTGATATATTCGCTAAGGGGGCGGGGAGTTTATCAGAGCATTGGTGCTTCATGGGTGACACGGCACCACGTGCAGAGCAAAATTGGCTGTCGATTATAATAGCGCTGCAGTAATCAGCCGCAATGTCAACGATAGCCAAACTTGGCTGTCGGTAATAATTACGCTGCAAGTAGCATATCAGCTGCAGTGTGACCAATGGCAACTTACTTTTTAAACGACTCATTGTCCACTTCATTTGAACTGCAGCTATCGGAGGAGTCGCAATCGGGTCTGCGGAATGGATGGTCGTTTTTCTGTTGCATTCCTTGCATTATCCTCGGTGCCTAAGAAAATATGACCAGTAAATAACTTCAGAATGACTGCTTCCTCCTCTTTGTTTTTGTATTGGGAATACAAGAGGCGTGGACTTACCGTAAAGCTTAATCACTTGAGCGTGATAGTGGCCGCAGTGTGTGGTATCCTTCCAGAACACCCGGTACCACTTCTGAGGATCAAAATTGCCCATATCCTTCGGATTGATGTACTTACATGCACTTACTGGGACTATTAATATTCAATTATCATCGCGAAACCAAACATCTTGGAGAATTGCGAGTGTACAGGCGCGATACTGAGCAATTAAGAGACGCAACAATGTTCACATGCGCTACACATGCACCAAGGCCGCCACCACAAGAGGAAGTTCCTCCGTGGCCGCTACGAACTTGCTATTGATGACGATGGCAGTGACATTTGTGGATCTCCTAACTGGTAGGTGTTCTGTGGATCTCCCGAGTAGTTTATGCAACCACGAGTCCACGACTACTTTCTCATCAACACAATGCAATTTAGTTTCTGAAAACAAAAACATTTATTTGCAAAAAAACATTTACTTCATGTTTTTACATCTTTATAGGGTAGTTTTTTAGAGCTCACAGCAAATATTATATAAACAATGAACGCAGTTACTGTAAAATGGTGACGTTGTGCATAGCCTCTGAGATGGCAAACGCGCAATGACGGGCGCGCAGCGGCAATTTCAGAGGTCATGCGCTGTGTCGCCATATTCGCGTTGGTTTGGCTAGGTGGCGTTAGCCGCCGCCTTTTTTAGTGGGTACAGCCGTATCAATTCATTCATCCATCCAGCTATCGCATTATTATGGCTACAATCATCTAGCCATAATGGCAGTCAGCGACCACCATGGCGACGACCACCTTCCTCCGTGGCGACCACAGTACAATACACCTAAAGCACGCGAAGTGTTCTCTAGGGTCACTATCTCGCGCTGTGACCCCGCGGCACATGTTAGTTTTCCGCAAAATCCGCGCCACGTGCTTAACATTCAAGGCACAGCAAGCAGGTTGTGAATGTGAAGCCTTGGTCGATGTTCTCGATCTTTACTCCTTCACTTATTATCAGTCCCGCAGCCTCACTTTGCGTGGACACCATCAAGCGCGCTATTTGAAGTTTGTGTCAAGTTCGACGAGAGATGGATTCAACTTAACCCCAGCCTTGATCAAAAAGAAACAAAAACGCTATTTGGAGCCTGGATCGCAATATGTGATACCTCGGACAAGGAGTGGTGGAGGCGCAGTCGGCCAACCAGCTACACTCAGCAAGAGCATTCCTCAGTCTTTAGCTGGTAATTGATGTTCTGGAGTAGCGGCCTTCGACACGCGAAGTCTGAGTGATGCGCATGGTGACAGCAATGAAAATCGTGATCCCGACGACACTTACGGCTTCGAGGAAAACTCGCTCAGCGATTCCGACCGGACTGCAGATGCGGCTCGCGACAATGTTGGCATGTGCGACACTTTTTAAATGCAACAATGGCATGTATTTTACACTGGTGCATGTCAATAAACTGCCAGGCTCTGTGTGTGTGCCCATGTGTGTGAGGTTTAGATCAAAACTATTCAAGAACACATCTCACATTGGTATTTGCTCAGAAACAGAGAAAAAAGTTGTGCTTCTGCCGAAGGATGTGGCCAGTGTGTTTACACATGAAAGTTGGATGTGTTTGCTATGTTGCTGATGTACCAAACTTGTTTAAAACTTGTGGCATATATAGCCAGTCTAATATGAGTTTCGCAAGGTAGGACAACTAAATGTTGGCTTGATTCTTTCTGTTGTTGTTCTCTTCACAACTGAACTTTTCTCATGGTAGGCAGTTTCTTGTGTGTGTGTGTGTGTGTGTGTGTGTGTGTGTGTGTGTGTGTGTGTGTGTGTGTGTGTGTGTGTGTGTGTGTGTGTGTGTGTGTGTGTGTGTGTGTGTGTGTGTGTGTGTGTGTGTGTGTGTGTGTGTGTGTGTGTGTGTGTGTGTGTGTGTGTGTGTGTGTGTGTGTGTGTGTGGTGTGTGTGTGTGTGTGTGTGTGTGTGTGTGTGTGTGTGTGTGTGTGTGTGTGTGTGGTGTGTGTGTGTGTGTGTGTGTGTGTGTGTGTGTGTGTGTGTGTGTGTGTGTGTGTGTGTGTGTGTGTGTGTGTGTGTGTGTGTGTGTGTGTGTGTGTGTGTGTGTGTGTGTGTGTGTGTGTGTGTGTGTGTGTGTGTGTGTGTGTGTGTGTGTGTGTGTGTGTGTGTGTGTGTGTGTGTGTGTGTGTGTGTGTGTGTGTGTGTGTGTGTGTTTTGCAGTCAAATGCTTTAGCCTTAATTAGTACAGGGCTTTTGATTTATCAATCTTGTGAGGATCACAGGCAAGTAATATAACAGGTCTGTGCCACCGCTTGGGCTTCATGAAAAGACACACCTGTGAATAACAGATGCTGCTATCAACATATCAGCCAAATCTTGCAGCTGCAAGTGACTTTTTTCATATAGATGACTGTGCTCACTTCGAATTTTCAGATGCCTGTATGTGGTGTAAAACAATTGGAAGCATGCTATTGGCCTAAAGCCAAAATAAATCAAGAGCAGTGTTTTATTCGAATGTGCTTCTTGCCACAGTGCGCTGCCACATGCTGGCACTGCTGTCCAAAATCTTCTAACATTGCATAGTCACGCTCGCACATGGGAATGGCAACACGAAAAAGCTACTGTGTTTCTTCAAGCATGCTCAAGCTCATAATGTGTGCTTACATATCGCACTTCTTTACTGCCATTCCTCCCTGTAGTTTTCGGCGCAGCTTGTTGGGACCGACGAGAAAAAAAGAAAGCGGTTGAAGTGCGCAATAAACCCCTCAACTTGCTTTGAAATATTTCTGGCAGTGGATTTTCGAGGCATAATGCTTAGATGATGAGGTCAAATAATGATTACTCAAAGAAGCATTTCATTGTTTCTTTAAAGTATCTCTTCCAGTATGGATTATGACACTGATGTAGTGGCTCATCATTAAAGGCAAAGCACTATGTGGGAGAGACAGCTGGGGTTGGCTTGTGTTGTGAAAGGGAGAAACTGCAGCACCACCCGAGGCTTTCGAATCCATGCCGTTTGGAAAAATTATTGTATCGGCATGCTCAATTCACAGTAGTGGACTGATTACTAAGTTATCTCCCTTGGAATGTTTACTGGCCCTATAACTTAAAATTTACAAATTACGTTAATGAGAAGTTTCGTTTGTATTGTTTCAAGTTATGTTTATACTGTCATCTGATAAGCTTTGGATACTAGTATCTAGAAAATTCTAGAAGTCATCTATCATTGTTAGCATTAACTGTGTTGCTATCTGGCACCTGCGATCCCATTTGTACACAGAATAAAGCGTTCATCTAGGCTGAAAGCTGCTTTGCATATTTGAAGCTCAGTTTGTCAATTATGCACCACCATAAAACATTGTACATTTTATTCTACGCATCCAAAAGCTGCCAGTTACACTCTCTGAGTCATCATAATATTTCACAAAATGGTCGTCAAGTGTTCAATAGAAAACACTGATACACTATTATACTGCAGAAGTGACCAATCACATATATGTGGGCAGAGTCTTCAAAAAAAAAGAACTACCGTTAAAATGACAGTAATGCATCTTATGAAGATCCAATAAATGAACAAAAGACTAAAAATCTATAGACTAATATATGCCATATAAATGATCAATCAAACTTATTCAAAAGCTGGTAGCACTGGTAAGACTGTGTATCAGTCTGATATGAGATTGGTAGCACTGGTAAGAAAATGTATCAGACTGATATCAATGTCTATAAGAACTGGTAAGACTCTGTATCAGTCTGGTACAAGACTGGTACAACTTATAGGAAACTGTATTAGTCTGATTCCGACCTCTATCAGAATTTTTGCTAGGGCTTCCTCTTGTGAGCGGCGCATTTGAGCTGCACGGCTGTGTCGTGGTGTTGTGGGCGTGTTTTTTGCGGCTTCGTTACTGTGTTCTCGTCGCTGGACGTGAAATGTGTAGTTTGACAACAGTGCCACACGCCGCAATGCGGCGTGTGGCACTGCGATGGTATGATAAGTGCGATGGTATGGCTACGGCCTTGTGACTCAAGCGAGTGGTGAGCATAGTGAGCGGTAGCGAAGCGAAGCCGTCACGGGGTAACATTCGCCTTCTGTGCGACCCATTTGAGCGGCACAGCAATGTGTCGCGGTGTTATGCGCATGTTTTGTGTGGCTGCGTTACTGTGTTTTCGTCACTGGACATGAAATATGTGGTTTGACAACAGTGCACCACGGCGCAATGCGAGTGCAATGTTATGTTTATGCCCTTGTGACTCAAGCGAGTGGTGAGCATAGTGAGCGGTAGCGAAGCGAAGCCGTCACGGGATAAACTTCGCCTTCTGCGCGACGCATTTGAGCTGCACAGCTATGTGTCGCGGTGTTGTGCGCATGTTTTGTGTGGCTGCGTTACTGTGTTCTCGTCACTGGCCGTGAAATGTGTGGTTTAACAAGAGTGAAACATGCCGCAATGCGGGTGCAATGTTATGGCTATGGCCTTGTGACTCAAGCGAGTGGTGAGCATGGTGAGCGGTAGCGAAGCGAAGTTGTCACGGGATAACATTCGCCTTCTGTGCGACGCATTTGAGCTGCACGGCCGTGTGTGGCGGTGTTGTGCGCGTGTTTTGTGCGGCTGCGTTACTCTGATCTCATTACTGGACGTGAATTGTGTGGTTTGACAACAGTGCAACACGTCGCAATGCGTGTGCGATGGTGTGGCAATGGCCTTGTGACTCAAGCGAGTGGTGAGCATAGTGAGCTGTAGCGAAGCGAAGACGTCACGGGATAACCTTCGCCTTCTGAGCGACGCATTTGAGCTGCACGGTATGTGTCGCGGTGTTATGCGCATGTTTTGTGCGGCTGCGTTACTGTGTTCTCGTCACTGGACGTGAAATGTGTGGTTTGACAACAGTCCACCACGCCGCAATGCGAGTGCGATGGTATAGCAATGGCCTTGTGACTCAAGCAAGCGGTGAGCATAGTGAGCGGTAGCGAAGCGAAGCCGTCACGGGATAACCTTCGCCTTCTGAGCGACGCATTTGAGGTGCACGGCTATGTGTCGCGGTGTTGTGCGCGTATTTTGTGTGGCTGCGTTACTGTGTTCTTGTCACTGGACATGAAATATGTG